ATTTGACCCAGGCATCCCTTTACTGGGCATATACCCAAAGGATTGTAAATCATGCTACTATAAAGACACATAAACATGTATGTTTATTGCAGCACTATTCACAATAGCAAAGACTTGGAACCAACCCAAATGTCCATCAATGATAGACTAGATTAAGAAAATGTGGCACATATACATCATGGAATACTGTGCAGGTATAAAAAAGAAGGAGTTCATGTCCTTTGCAGGGATATGGATGAAGCTGGAAACCATCATTCTCAGCAAAATATCACAAGATCAGAAAACCAAACACCCCATGTTCTCACTCATAAGAGGAAGTTGAACGATGAGAACACATGGACACAGGGAGGGGAACATCACACACCAGGGCCTGTCGGGAGCTGGGAGGCTAGGGGAGGGATAACATTAGGAGAAATACCTAATGTAGGTGACGGGTTGATGGGTGCAGCAAACCACCAGGGCACGTGTATACCCATGTTACAAAACTGCATGTTATGCACATGTAACCCAGAACTTAAAGTATAATTAAAAAAAAAAAGATAAAATTATTTACAGCAGAATAGGTTTAATTAGCAAAATACTGGAAATGGCTATCTGTCCATCAATAGGAGAACAGTTAAATTATGGTACATCTATACAATGAAGTACCATAAAGCTAAAAATGAAAGCACAAGGAAGCTATGTATGAAAGGGAAAGAGCACTGAGATAAAAAAACAGGGGAAGGGAGAATTAACATTCATTAGCATATGCATAAATACATGAGAAGATTCTCAAGAAACCAGTAACAGTGCTTATGTCTGGGGGTGGGGTGTAAAGATGATGAACAGAGGATGGGGTGGAAGACTTTTTACTACACTGTGTTCCTTTCTACATTTTGTGATTTTAAGACTGTGTGAGTCTAGCATCCATTCAAAAAGTTAAATTAAAATGGAAGCAACTTAAAATGAGTAAGAAAAGAAATATGTGTTAAGTACTATAGGGTGATATGGACCACGTGGTCTCAGCATGGACCATAAAGAGTTAGCTCTGTATAAGGGAGCAGGTCTAGAGCTGCTCTAATACAAGTGCCACTAGTCAAAGATGGCTCATTAAATTAAAATTAAATAAAATTAAATGTTCAGTTCCTTAGTCACACCAGCACCCACATCAAGTGCCAAATAGCCACATGTGGCTCACAGCTCCTGTAATGACAGCTTAGATAGAAATTTTCACTACTGCAGATAGTTCTATTATTACAGTGCTAATCTACAGAAAGGTCTAGAAGAGCCATCTGATGCTGTAGAAGACCTTCAGGCAAGCAGAGGGAGCAGAGGGCTCAGTTACAAAAGGGTGCAACGTCCCCAAGAGAAACTGTCTGGTGAACCAAACTATGAGGTGTTTGGTGAAGGAAGGTAGTACACATGATGGACAGCTGAAAAAGTAGGCTGGGTCAAATAACACAGACTGTTCACAATCTGTAAAATGGAAACTCCAATTATGGAGGACCGAGAATCAGAAGAGTAAGACTGACTGCTTTCCATCTTCCCATTTATAAGTCAGCAGTCAAATTAATTATTTAGAAGTCAATTATGTAAGTTATAGGTGGAAAAAAACCCAACAACCCTATGGTTTATGGGTCCCCCATACTGTTTTGGTGATAACGTTGATGTTCATTAGTTATTTCAATAGACGAGAGAGAGAGCAACATGTAAAATCGGTCAAGGTAAGAAACCATTTAGTCTGGTTTCCCATCTTGGTTTCCCATCTTGGAGATGAGTAACAAGAGTGCACAGGACAGTGAAGTAGTTAGTCTCCATGGCACTGAACCAGATGCAGACACTCTCCATAATATCACTGTCTTTCCTTTCTAAGTCTATTGTTAATACACATTTACACACTGAAGTATTCTCAGTCATCCAAAGATTCCATTTTAAATGTTTTACCCAATACATCATGGCAATGTGAAAAAAACTCATTAACTTAACAGACTTGGCTGACTGTTCTGCAGCTGCAATTCTAGGCACAAGAGAGATCACATGCACGCCAGCACACAGCATTCAGGAGCTAACTAGTCCCAGTAGTAAAGGCAGCAATTAATCTTAATGGAGGTCAGTAACTACTGAGACTGTTATAGACACTCCACCCAGAGAAATGCACATGTGCACAGACACATAGCACCTTCAAACAGTTTCAGGAGGAACCGCACGTGGAGCAGACTACTAGGGATGACAGAGGTGGACCTTGCTGTTGGTTCACTGCAAACATGGAGTAAGTGGCAGTGTTCCCTTCTCTGTAAGAATAGACACCACAGTTGAAGACTCATTTCTGTCACAAGCAGAATTCAAGTCAAGAGCATTAAAATGCTTATGAAGAGTCTACTCCCATGGTAAAATTCTTATGTTAATAATGTTACATGAATAAAGCAGAATATTAAAGCTGCATAGTCCATATTTTATCACATTTAAGATATCATTTGTAAGCTTAGTTGAACCGAAAAAGGAAAAATTTTGCCAATTAAATTATGACACAATTCTTTTTTTTATCACAACACCTGTAAGATGCAATCAGATTTTTAAGATGCTAAAATTTAAGAAAAAGTGCATCTTAGAATTGGTACTTATGATTGTGTCCATGTTAAGAAAACAGTAACAACCACCAAACAATAGTTACTAAATGAAATTCCTAAAGGGAAAAAAAATGCAGATTTTAAAAAATACTATTCTTTCTTGGAGAAATAAGCCAGCAAAAATACATAAATAAATAAGTAAAAAACAGAAAAAAATGTGAAATGTTTACACTTAGGAGAAAGAACACTAGCAAAGGAGTCAGGTGTGGTCAGAGAGGAGGAATGCCAGGATAAAGCAGAACTACAAAATCCAATGAAGGCTAACAGTTTAACAGTTACAATGTGCCTGTCACTAATCTGAAGGCTTTTCATGTAGCCCTCAATGAATCCTCTACGGTTATATGAAGTGGGTCCTATTATTATTCCCAGTTTACAGACAAGGAAACACATTCACAGACAGGGTAGGTGAGCTGGCCCAATTAAAAAGGTGGTAAGCAAGGGAGTCAAGATTTGAATCCATGTAGTCTTGTACTCTGAGCCCACATTTTAACCAGTATGCCCTGGCAGGCTCAGAAACTGGCTTCCCAAATCTTAAATATCTCTCTGCTACGGCCTGGCACAGTGGCTCACACCTGTAATCCCAGCACTTTGGGAGGCCAGGAGTTCAAGACCAGCCTGGCCAACATGGTGAAACCCTGTCTTTACTAAAAACACAAAAATTAGCTGTGCGTGGTGGCACATGCCTATAATCCCAGCTACTTGGGAGGCTGAGGCACAAGAATTGCTTGAACCCGGGAGGCGAAGGCTGCAGTGAGCTGAGATCGCCATTGCACTCCAGCCTGGGTGACGCAGGGAGACTCTGTCCTAGAAAAAAGAAAAAAAAAAAAAAAGACCTTTCTGACAAGATCATTGGTGATACTAATAAATGTGATTTTTTTTAAACATTGAACAAATAAAATGAATCTGCATAGCTCAGTGAACTATTTTCTAAAGAACCAGTGCCTGATATAACCAAATCATGCATGAGTAAAAGATCCATTTGAAGTGCAAGGCAGATTAATGAATTTTCACCTAACAAGAGTACAAAAAGTTTACTGTTATCGTTTCAGATTCCAGACTGCAAATAACCCTTGACTGACTACCACTTGTTCAGTTTGGGTGTAGTATCAAAGGTGGAACATCCACAAAACATACTTCTTCCTTTCCAACTACTTATCTGTGTGGTCAGATTTGCTTCATTTACAACAACATCTCATGATACATTTAATGCAGAAAAAAGATGTAAGAATCTTCTAGCTGTCATTGATTAAGCTGAGCATTAAAGAGATTTGCAAAAACGTAAAACAAAGACATTCCTCATTAAACATTTTGTTTTAGAAAATATTTATTGTTCATAAAAATGTTACAGTAACATGTGATAGGTGTTTTGGTTTTGTTCTGAGAGAGTCTCACTCTGTCCCCCAGGTTGGAGTACAGTAGCACGATCTCAGCTTACCACAACCTCTACCTCCCGGATTCAAGTGATTCTGCTGCCTCAGCCTCCCGAATTGCTGGGATTGCAGGTGCCTGCCGCCACGGCCGGCTGATTTTTTGTGTTTTTAGTAGAGACAGGGTTTTGCCATGTTGGCCAGGCTGGTCTCAAACTCCTGAACTCAGGTGATACACACGCTTTGGCCTCTCAAAAGTGCTGGGATTACAGGTGTGAGCCACCGTGCCCGGACTTTTTTTTTGAGATGGAGTTTCACTCTTGTTGACCAGGCTGGAGTGCAATGGCACAATCTCAGCTCACTGCAACCTCTGCCTCCAGGATTCAAGCAGTTCTCCTGCCTCAGCCTCCCAAGTAGCTGGGATTACAGGCATATGCCACCACACCCGGCTAATTTTTTGTATTTTTAGTAAAGATGGGGCTTCACCATGTTGGTGAGGCTGGTCTCAAACTCCTGACCTCAGGTAATCCATCTGCCTTGGCCTCCCAAAGTGCTGGGATTACAGGTGTGAGCCACGATGCCCAGCCAGATTTTTTTTAATGAATAAATATTTAAAAACTTTTTCAGTTTCAGTTTCTAATAAATTAAGTATTAACAGATCAAATCCATAGAAAATGAAAGAACACTGTCCACTATTACTGTTACACACTACTATACATAGCCACCTTGCATTGTTGTATCTCACTGAATCTGGGAACCCTATGAGGTAAGTGGTAGTATTCCTGCTTACCAATGAGAAATCGGCTAACTTAATTCCCTTGCCCAAGGTAGCCCAAGTAGGAAGTGGTCAGGCCAGTACTGGCAACAACGTCTGTCAGATGCCAGAATCCCTGCATTTAATTGCTGTGCTCTATTGAGTCCATAAGTAGGTGTCAAAACATGATGCGCTTCCCATAAATATGAGTTAAGCTGTTTGAAAGAGAACAGGTGATATTTGCAAAGCAATGAATAGAATTGCATGACTTACTTTATATATCTCTTCATATGTTTCTTCATCAATTTCTATAGTAGTCACAGTTTCTTCCACGTCTCCCAAGATCATATTTAAATGCTGATCATAAGCCTCAAGTGGGAGGGTAAAGAACCAAGAAATTTAATAATCAAATTATGAAAATGATCAAGGCTTAACAATATGCAAATTGCTCAATTACAACTAAGGCATTTGATACTTACATCACAAACTTTTACATGCAAATAAAAAGTAATCCTACTGTACTAATACACTGTTTCTTTACAAGTCATTTCAAATGATTACTTAATTGACCTGATAAAAATATAAAACTGCTCATATGGCCAAAAATAAATTTACTCAAAATCACTTGAAATTATTTTTAAAGTCTCTACCCCACTTGTTATCTAAGGCAGTCACATCATTTATAATATTTAATTATGAAAAACAGCAGATCCATCTTCATCATTTATCAGTAGACATCCTTCAAATTCACCTATAACAATGTGACAAGAAAAATACAGTAAAGAAGATAAAATCCTTTGTTTACTGGTAACATGATGGCATTGCAGTCTTCTAAAGGCACACGGTAGACTACATGTTGCAGAGAGAAAGTAAGTAGAGCAACACCCTGCCCATTTCTAACCTATCCAAAACTTAAATGCACCTGTGGGCTCAATCAATAAATGTTGCAGCTAAGATATTCAATCCAAGCTCCAAAGTTCATTCATTTTACTAAAAGGTGCACTTTAAAGCTGGGACTTTGTTCAGAACTCAAGTTTACTTCTAACAACGTGTTACATGGTTCACCTGCTCACATCAAAATAAAAGTCACTTGTCAGCCACGTGGGGAACTGCTTTAAGCAGGGCACGCTAACAAGAGCAAAAATGTATAACTGAGGGGCACAAAACAAACAGAAAGTTGGGGCCATTTAGGATACAGACCATCAAGTTTACACAGGGAACTGAAGAAGCCTCCAAGGGCCACAGACATAAGTAATTAAGCTCAATTCCATTTGTATTCCCGAAGTTACCACTATTCCTTTCCTGGAGTCTCTCTTCCTTTAAGGCCAACTGTAGATTGTCTCCCTGGGTCCCTATTTCCTTTCCAAGCCCAGAGGTTCTTTATCGTTAGGTTTTGTGGAAGGTGGAACCACAGTACTTAAGAGTGGGGCTCAGGTCAGACAATCTAGATTCAAATTCTAGCTCTCCCTTTACTGGCAAGTGACTGTACCTTTCTGAGCCTGAGCTTCCTACAGTGCAAAGCAGGAATAATTAGTATGTATCATCACAGGGTTGTTATAAAGATTAAATCAGATATCACACACAAAATGCTTAGAATAATAGTAGCTGGTCTATAACTAATGCTCAATAAATGTTAGCTATTTTTAATCACTTTAGGGTAAAGTAGCAACACTAAAAACAACACACTTAGGAAAGCAACAAGTCATTAAGGAGAGGCAAAACCTTGAGGGTACTCTATGAACAAATGGGATTACTTCAAGGGACCAATTCTACAGATATTTTGCAGATATGCACAAATAAATATGTAAAAAAAAATGCTTACTGCAAGTATTTATGTAAGTATTTGTAGCAAGAAATGAAAAAAAAATCGATCACTATCATATACAGAATCCTAGGTAGTCATTAAAAAGAACAAATGAGAATTAAATGCACTAATGATCAATAATCTCGAAGAAAGATTAAGTGAAAAAAAAAAAGGTGCTGAAAAACGTGTATAGCAGGATCCATGTTTTGTAGAGGTAGGGTGTACATAGTGCAAGTATGTGCATATGTACATATATGAATGTATGTGTGTAAACATACAGAAACAGTAACCCAATTTTTAATTTTTTAATTTTTATTTTTTGTAGAGACAGGATCTCTCTATGTTGCCTAGGCGGGCAACACAGAGAACTCCTGGCCTCAAGTGATCCTCCTGCCCCAGCCTCCCAAAGTGCTGAGATTACAGGGATGAGCCACTGCACCCGGCCAAGATAATCCAATTTTTAATAGTGGTTACCAGTAGAGGAAATGGGATTTCACTTTTTACTCTATATATTTTTGTGCTGTTTAACTTTTCATAATAAAACACATATTTGTGTTTTAAGTTTAAAAAACATTTAAGAATGGAGGACAAATAAATGTTATTTACAAATAAACAAAAGGGAAAAATGAAGGGAATAAAAATGTTCTATAATAAACATATTTCTATTAAAAGAAAAAATATTAAAAATGTGAATACATGCAGCTTCATCTGGCTTATGGAAACATGGGTGATTTTCCACTACCCTCTCTTCCTTCAAAATACCTTTTCACTCTGGACAGGTTTTACATTTCAAGGGAGTGGGGGTGGGAAGGAATCTGATTTCAAGGTAACTTGATAAATTTACTCACATGTAATCTGCCTCGAAGCTCTCGGTCATTTCTCATCTTCACATAAATTCGCTCATCTAGGCTGAGCCTGATAAGATCCAGGGGCTCCTCTACAGTGTTGGTAGTTTGTTGCTGATAACAGAAACAGGTTTAGTAATACAGTACTAGAGATAAAGTAGTGCTTAAATCACTGCTATGCTGTATGACCATGTGCAAGTTATTTAACCTTTTTCTGCCTCAGTCTCCTAATCTGTAAAATGGAGATAATAGTGTCTACCTAATACTGTTTTTATGAGGCTTAAGTGACATATATGAAGGCTTAGAACAGAACTTTTCACATAGTATGTGCTATATAAATGTAGATTAAAACACGCATACATAAGAAGGAGTTACACAGCAAAATAATCATGACTATACTTTGTTCCCTCAAAATCCAAACTGCCTGACCCGATTTCAGGGTATAGGGTCTTAGGAACTTTAGCTTTATCTCAAATATTATGTAATCATAGGAAAAACACTCACTTAATGCCTACCATATACTAGTCAGAATGCCAAGTAGAGGTGTAGGTTTATGGGAAGATTATGAATTCAGCACAGGTTGAGGTTAGGCTGCCAACTGGCCAGTAAGATGAATATTTAGTAGCCAGAATAGAACACTGGTTCAAAGCACTGGCTTAGCCGGGCATGGTGGCATGTGCCTGTAGTCCCAGCTACTCCGAGGCTGAGGTGGGAGGATTGCCTGAGCCTGGGAGGTGGAGGTTGCAGTGAGCCAAGATGGTGCCAACAAGCAAGCAAGCACTGACTTTGGAGTCAGGCAGTCTGGGTTCAACTCCTGGCTGTGACCTGACACTTATGAACTGAGATTAAAAATCATGCCATCTGTAATTCTCAGATTCTTCATTTGTAATTGAGAAAGCCACAACCTTCCTTCTGGATTCTTATGAGGATGAAACTAGTTAATGCATTTAAAACAGTGCCAGGAAAGCAGAAAATATTAATACTTAGAAACGGTTCCTTTTGGCTGGGCGTGGTGGCTCAGGCCTGAATTCCAGCACTTTGGGAGGCTGAGAAAGGCAGATCACCTGAGGTTAGGAGTTTGAGACCAGCCTGGCCAACATGGTGAACCCCGTCTCTACTAAAAATACAAAAATTAGCCAGGCGTGCTGGCACGTGCCTGTAGTCCCAGCTACTTGGGAGGCTGAGACAGGAGAATCGCTTGAACCAGGAGGCAGAGGTTGCAGTGAACTGAGATCACGCCACTGCACTCCAGCCTGGGCGATAGAGTGAGACTCCATCCAAAAAAAAAAAAAGAAAAGAAAAGATTCCTACTAATATTATATTATTAAAGAACTGCTGGAAACACTGGTTTTAGAGGTCAGGGCTAGGATGACTTGGGGTCACCCACATGGAAGGGAGGGTTGCAGCCATTAAAGAGTTAGATGATTCAAGGAGAGCTTCTTTAGTAAGTACACAAGGCCAGTGGAGGAAGGTAACTGAATTCGTAACAGGCGCTAAAGATTCAAAAGGCCCGATGAGAGAAAAAAAAATAACCTAACTCAACTGGTCCCTATGTCCCTCAGTTCAACAGGTGTTTGTTAAAGGATCAGATAACCAACTGTTAGATTACAATGATACAGAAGTCACAATCTCCACCCTCAAGGAGCTCATTCTAATGTGGATAGGCATATGAATAATTATAATACTGTAAGAATATGCACATGACAGAGCTCTACTGCTACCTAAGCCTCTGTCTAGGATGCCCACTTTCTGTTCTTTTTCATCCTGTAGCTTTATACATTGGCTTTTAAAAGAGGCCTCCTCTGATCATCTAACTCATTCACTCAAATATTTGTTGAGTATTTCCAGCACTGTTCTAAACCCCAAGGACAAAAGAATGAACAAAACAAAATGCCTACTGTTATGGCACTTACATTCTAGTCAGGAGAGATACACATTAAACAAAGATGCATACATTTAATATGAAAAAATAACGTTCTATGAAGAAAAATGAGGCAGGGTAAGCAGAGTAGGGGGAGTGCTATTTGGGCAGAAGTCCTCTCTGAGGAGGTGAGATTTCAGTAGAAAGTTTAAGTTGTAGCATGATCTCCAAAGATATTTGAGGAAGAAAAAGACCAGGTGAAAAAGCTTCTAGGACCATCTGTTATTCTGCATACCAGTTCCTTGTTTCCTTCATAGCACATCACAGTTCCTATAAATCTTACATATTTATATTTATCTGTTCTCCTCGCGAATATAAGCTCCAAGTCATGGCAAGGATCACTTATATATCGATGTCAGTGTCCCTGGCTCTTAGAACAGTGTCTAACCATACAAAGCTGATGTTCACTCTCTCTGCTGAATGAGTAAATAATTGTTGTGCTCAGTAATAACAACTCCTAACTTTATTATCTGGCTTTCTATTGGAATCCTGACAGCTCCGTGAGGTAGGCACGCATAATAATTTACAGATTTTAAAAAACAAAGCGAAGAGTGTGATGAATAGTCATCAGGTGGCCTTCTAACGGAAAAGACCTCAGGGCCTGCAGCAAAATTCGGACAGGGGTGTTTACGGAAAGGATGGGGCGGATTAGGCCGTGTGACTTGGAAAGAAGAGGCGCGACTGGCCATTTTTCCTGCGTTTGGAAAAAGCAGTTTAGTACAAGAAGCGGCGCCGAGCCACCGCCTTAAAATTCACTCACCTGGTCTACGTCGTCCGCCATGTTTCAAACCCTGCGCCCTTTCCCGCCTCTCGCGAGAACACAAGAGCAACGCCGAGCTCCGGAAACGTGATGCTACAATACACCGGAAATAGAAACCTGCTGTGCTCTTGCCTGCTTCCCGCGGTTTTTTAGTGGCCACGGGCATGGGGCGGAGCTTCCTTTGGGGGCGTGACTAGGCCTCCAACGAAGGGGCGTGGCCAGACGCGCCCGCCTCGGGGCGGGGCCTGCGTTCTAACGCATCGCGGCCTGGTGCGTCACTCGCGAAGTGGATTTTTCCCCGACAAGCAATATGGCTCGGAAGCGCGCGGCCGGCGGGGAGCCGCGGGGACGCGAAACGCGCAGCCAGAAGTCCAAGGCCAAGAGCAAGACCCGGCGTGAGGAGGAGGAGGGTGAGAGCGTGGCCCAGCGGGCTTCGCGGGAGACTCTGCCGGTGGGCGGAGGAGGCCCAGAGGCAGGGGCGGCGGGAGTCCAGACGCGGAGGCCGGGAGGAGGTTGCTGCGCGCGTTCCGCGCAGTGGGGGCAGCACGGCAGGCCGCGGCCGGCCCTCCCCGCTGTCCCTGCGCCTTTGTCCTCTGCACCCAGAGCGGCTTCCCGTGAGCCTCGCCCGACCCAAGCTCCTGCGTAGCTTCTTTCCCGCTCCCCGTTGTCCAGAGGATACAGCGCAGATGTTCAGGGTTGAACGCGGAGAAGGCAGTTATTTGTGTCCCAGGAAAACGGACGGACGGACCAGGACGTAGAGTGATGCAGTGTGCTGACTCCCGAATGATAACTTCAGCTGAGTCTCGCCCAGAGTTCCACAGTGGGATCCCACCTGACTTCCCCTCGTGGATATTGGATAGGCTTCTTACATTTGTCGTGGACAGTGCAGAGCTCATGGTCTTCCCCTTCAAATCTATGCTTTCCTCCGTTTTTCCAGTCCCAATACTTGTTATAAAACAAAGTCCACCTTTTTCTTATGTGCACACATCCAGTCCCGTCAGCAAGTCCAGTCAGTTCAGCCTCAGACTGTATTTCAAATTTGTCCACTTCTCTTCATTTCCATGGCCACAACCCCTGTCCAAGTCACCATCACCTTTCAGTTGAGTGACTGCAGTTTCCTCTTGACTGGCCTCCCAGCTCTGCATCCAGCAACGCAAATAATCTTTAAAAAAAAAAAAAAATCATGCCATGCTCCTGCTTTAAACTCTCCTTGGTTTTCCATTGCTCTTAGTTTAAAATCCAGTTGTCTTATCCTGGCCTGCAAGATGCTACGTGTTTTGGCTCTTGCTACCTCTCCTGTTTCTCCTACCACTTGTTTCCTTGCCAGATACCCTCCTCATTGGCCTCCTTTCTCTTCCTCAAATATGCCAAGTTATTTCTTGAGCCTTTTCCTTTGATATTCCTTCGGCCTAGAGTGACCCCCCACCATGGCTTTTGCCAGGTATGATTTCTTCAAATCTCAAGTCAGACATTCCTTGAGCAAACTAAGGTAGTCCTTCCCAGATACCCCGTGGATACTAAAACCTGTGATGCTCAAGTACCTTGTATCAAATGGCCTAGTGTTTCCATGTAACCTATGCGCATACTCCGACATACTTTAAATCATCTCTAGATCACTTGTAATATCTAATACAATGTAGATGCTATGGAAATAGTTGTCATACTATAGTTTTAAAATTTGTGGGTTTTATTTTTCCCGAAATATATTCATCTGTGGTTGGTTGAATCTGTGGATGCGGGGCCCGTCGATTGGTAGGGCTAAGTGCTAAATAAATATTTTTTATTTTTTATTTTTTTCGAGATGGAGTCTCACTCTGTCGCTGAGGCTGGAGTGCAATGGCATGACCTCTGCCTCCCAGGTTCAAGCGATTCTCCTGCCTCAGTCTCCTGAGTAGCTGGTATTACAGGTGACTGCCACCATGCCCGGCTAATTTTTGTATTTTAGGAGAGATGGGGTTTCGCCATGTTGGCCAGTCTGGTCTCTAACTCCTGACCTCAGGTGATCCATTCGCCTCGGCCTGCCAAAGTGCTGGGATTATAGGCATGAGCCACTGTGCCTGGCCAATAAATATTTTAAATAATTGCAAAATGCAGGCTGTAGAAGGAATTTCTGGGTCTCCTGAAATAACTGGGTAGATTAGGTAACCAGCAAAGGCTATCACACTCGATTCTGTGTTTCTATACCGATTATAAGTTCATCATCCATTAGAAAATAGTCAAATGGTAATAATTCCTAAACTTAGAAGGTGATTTACCTCATATGTAGTATTTCGGGTTCCATTTTATTCATTTACTCGTTCATTCAAAAAACATATTTTGAGTACTATGTGCTGCACATGAATGAGGTGACATGGGAGATAAGCGTATCTTGGAGGATCATAGAGTAGTGTTGACATGACATTTGCATGTAAGACATGCAAGGCAGAGTGTGCTAAATACTGTGGAAGAAGGTACAAGGCTTTGTAGCTTCCAAAGGATTAATCAAGTTTGACTAGCATGATCGGGGAACGCTTTCTGAAGTTGTTTGATCTGTGATTTAAAGGATGGTTGCTATTTTAGCAAGGGGTCACAAAAAAGGGGCTGGTATTCTAGTCAGAATGTAATTTGCATATATGGCAATTAAAAATTGTTGTAATCTGATGGAAATGCTACCTGCATTCCTCCCAGCTCAACACTTCACCTGGGTTCCAGCTTGGTAGAGCTTCAATTCTTAGTTATATGCACTTGGGTGAATTATTTTGGACAAGTATTTTAGCCCTTCTAAACTTCTTCTATGAACTATAATAACTGCCTTGCAGGGTGGCTGTAAGTTTTCAGTGGGATAGCATATAAAGCCAAGAGCTTTAGCTTTACCCATGTTAGGTAATTAGTTGGGCTAGCTGGTGTCATTCAGCCTAAATGGAGGTAAGGATGCACCCAAGTTTACTCTGCTAGCCAGAGGAGGTAGCAGTCAGTTCCCAAGGCAGCTTCCAATCTGCAGAGTTACAACTTTTGTTGTGGTTTGGTGGTTTGTTGGGGAAGCATAGACTTAGCAAGTGTGGTTTGGGCTGCAGGTGACAATAATTTGGTGACTGTCAGTGTAGTTTCTAACACTGTAATAGTGTAGGTTTTAACAGCACCCCTGTACATGCAAATGAAGGTGATACTTGGCTGCTTTCGACAAATAGGAAAAAAGAAAACAGGCTTCCACATGATTTCCTTTGTGTTACTAAAGCACCTCTGGTTTCTTTGCATTTCTTCTCTATGTTAACACCTTCGGTGATAATCCGTTAACTCCTTCAACAGCTGTTTATTGAGCGCCTACTATTTTCAGGCACTGTTCCAGGTACTAGGATAATAGTGGTGAACAAGACAGGTGAGGCACCTGCTCTCATGATTATAATCTGTGGGGAGGGGTAAGTAGAACAGATAACAAGTTAAAAAAAAAACAGATTCACATAATGGTAAGAGCTATCACCCTGTGTTAAGACTGCTGTGATAAAACTTACTTGGGTACATAGCAGAAAATGCTTCTATAGATGGGGGAAAAAAAAACCCTCAAATTTAAATGGGGCTGGGAAGGGGCAGCTAAATGGGAATCAGTGTCAGGGAAGGCCTTTGTAAGGAGATGGCATTTTGAGGCAGTTAGTGTAATTTTGAGCCATTCATAGGAAGTTCTGGGGAAAAGAGTTCTAGGCAGAGAGGACAGTGTTTAAACACTCTCAGGAGGGAATGAACTTGGCCAGTTGGCTGGACACAGTGAGTGAGGGGCTGGGTAGGAGAAGTGGGCAGGGGCCTGAGCTTGGATACCAAGCTAAGGAGTTGGAATTTTATTCTGAGTGCTGTGAGTTGCTGCTAGAAGGTTTACTCTGGTGTTCTTATTACATCCCAGTAGATGGGCAAGCAGACCACAGTGGTAATTCCTGCCCTACTGAAAGAACGCTGAGCTCGAGGAGGCTGGTTAGGCATATTAGATCACTCAAGATTTTGGAGAGTCCTGGAAAAGAGTCTCTAGGTGCTTAGGGACCAAAGAATAGCAAAGAATAGAAAGTCACCCATATTTCTGCCATCCAGAAATAGCCACCATGAAATAATGGTCTGTTTCCTTCTAGTCTGTTTTTTACATAGCAGAAAGCATGCTGTAAAATCAACTTTGCATGATTAACATTACATCATCTATCGTTTTTCTTTATCTTAAAGGATGACTCAATTATATTTTGTTGTGTGGCTCTGCCCTAAGTTACTTAACAATTATCTCGTGGTTGTATGTTCAGATTATTGTTAGATGCTTTTGAATACTATGAACATCCTTTTGATTCAGAGTTTTGTGTTTCCTTTTTCCCCCCTTTCCTTTTTAACTCCTCTACCTTTCTCTTCAAACACAGAAATAAAAGCTATGCTTTTTAACCAACCAGAAAAGTTTGTGATGCCTCTGAAGTATCCTCCTACCTGCATTTTTTTTAGATTAGTAGAAAGTGAAGTATTTCGCATCTTTGCCTATTAGAGGGCTAAATACCATTGTAAGATCCAGAAATCTTAATTTTAGGGCACCCTCCTCAAACTGTCAAATCTTAAGCTTTATGCAGCCTCTGGCCTTGGAATCGGCAGTCTGTTCTCAGATTTGAAAAAATTAATTTTGAAATATTTTGCACTTCAAAATTTTTCCTTATTTTTTGGTTTCCACTAAAATGTTTAAAAATGGGAATACATAAATTCCTTTTTCATAAAACATTTAAAGAAACAACGGAATCAGTGATTTATCTAGCATTAAAAGAAATGCTCCTTTGATATGAATTTTATTAACATTTAATAATGATTTCATCTAGATCAGAGGGAGAGTCTTTTTTCCCTCATGCAAAAATTTATATTCTTGTGGAATATAAATACCTATCCAGAGAGTCAGCAAGGCAAACAATGAAAAGACTGAATTATTAAATAATTTTATATTTTAGGTTAACGTTGCAATCCCTTATGGAACCTCAATAAAAAGTATTTTTATTTTCTAAAATTAATTGAAGCAGAGTCATGCAAAGACAAAAGAGGATTTGTTTCGGATTCAAGATCATTTGTGTGAATATATTTGCAAAATAGAAAA